ACCAGACAGCAGGGCATGCAGGGACCAGAGAACAAGGACAGACCCAGACACAGTCGGGCCACAGTCAAAGGTGGACACAAGTGACCAACTATGAGGCAGGAAAGCCAGTGCAGGGAGGACAGGTGCAGACTGACCCAAACACTCTGACGGGCGGGCAGGATGGGAGCAGCACTCAGCCGGAGGGCAGCATGGCCGGAGGGCAGGGACAGAGCTGGTCCACAGAGGTACACCGCGAGTGGGTGGACGACCACTCGAGGGAGACAGTGTTCCCCACACCACAGGACCAGGGTGGCGCAAACACTCTGACTGGCGGGCAGGACGGGAGCAGCACTCAGCCGGAGGGCAGCGTGGCCGGAGGGCAGGGACAGAGCTGGTCCACAGAGGTACACCGCGAGTGGGTGGACGACCACTCGAGGGAGACAGTGTTCCCCACACCGCAGGACCAGGGTGGCGCAAACACTCTGACTGGCGGGCAGGACGGGAGCAGCACTCAGCCGGAGGGCAGCGTGGCCAGAGGGCAGGGACAGAGCTGGTCCACAGAGGTACACTGCGAGTGGGTGGATGACCACTTGAAGAATACGGTGTCCCCCCCGCAGGACCAGGGTGGCTTGTAGAGCCCAGCCCTGGGATTCAGTGCCAGGAGGAGACAGCTGGAGGTAGTTGGTTTGCCCTGCCCTGGCCCACCCTGCAGGTATGGGCATCAGCTCTTACCATGCTTCCCTGAGATCTTTCTCTGTGAGATTACTTCTTCAAGGTGCTTTCCACCTGACCTCTTTTCTCTTACCTGCTTTGCTGCACAACCCTCTCAGGAGCAAGAAGACACAAAGAGAGTGATGCCTTTGCGTTGAATTCTCCTCAGATTATGGGCATTTTTAGAACCACTTTTTATCTCTGCCATTTGTCCGCCACCCCCTTTATCCCAATAAATTAATAAAACCTTCCTCAGTAACTGGACTCTGTGCCCAGCTCAGTCACTTCCATTGACTCCGTGGCCTCATCCTGGCCATGCAAGAGCAGCAGGTGGCTCCTACCCTTGAACACCCAGCTGAGAAAAGATCGCATGAGATTCCAGGTATGAAGAGTTAAAGAGAGGAGCTGCCATCCTTTAATGCTAGGCAGAGTACATCAGGAAAGTTTCAACCAGAAGAGGCTTTTTTTTTTTTTTTTTAATCCTCTTAAAGGACAAGTAGAATTAGGAATGTAAATCTAGTCTCAGCCTTTCACCATCTCTAACTCTGGACTGTTGAGACACTGTTCACCTGTCAGGCCTCAGAGGAAGGCTGACTTAGGGTTATCAACGAATGAAAGAAGTCCCCAGAGTTTTGTGGGGTGAGCATGTACATTTGGGGAACCGAAGTAGGAGCTGGGTTCTGAGCTTCTTCTGTTCCTCATTGGTGTCAGCTCTGACCTCTTATAATAGGACTCCCCTGGCTAGGAACAAGTTAGGTGCTAAGATGTCTCATTTGTTACAAGAATCACATCAGGACATCAGGAATTTGTTATAAGGCAGCAGGAATAGTTTTTAAATACAGCTTTATTAAGCCTAACCTGAGAGATGCTAAGTCAAACGGATGAGGATGGAGCCTCTGAGAATCTGAGAAAAACTTCTTAAGGGGACTTCTCACTGTAGGTCAGGCAAAGTGGTCTGAAGGGCTCCCTAAAATGGAATGACTAGGCCCCACATTAATGGTATTTTCTACTTCTTTATCAGTTTGTAGGAAATAAGAAAAATCTCCAAGGAGAACAGAGAATGTGGTATGCTGAGTAACTACACCCAGAGGTGTCCAGTCCTGATGTGAGGAACCTGCTTATACATTCTCTTCTGTCTCAAAAGGGCTCTTTTGTTGTAATTAAGTCAAGGGCCCTGCAATGGGGAGTTTATTCTGAATTATCTTGGTGGGCCCAATGTAATCACAAGGGTGCTTATAGGAAGAGGCAAGGGGGTCACCTGGTTCAAGTGGTGCACTTCTAAAAGTGGAGAAAGCAAGGGGACCAGTTTTCCTCTGGAGCTTCCAGAAGGAACAGAGCCCTGCTAACTTCTGACCTCAAGGGCTGCAAGGGAGTAGATGTTTGAAGTCATTGAGTTTGCGGTACTTTGTTACAACAGCAATAGAAAACTAATACACAAAACACTCCCCACAAACCCCCATACACAGGGTTGGAGCCAGAATGGGGAGCAGTTAAGAAGGACAGAATGTAAGTTGTAATGAATGTAAAATGACATTCATCCAACAGACCTTCATGTATAAAGGCCATAGGCAATTAGCAGAAAATTTAGGTAACATTGTTCCCATAAGTTTTTCCTGGAGAACACATCAGAAAATGAGCATAAAAAACCAGAATCATAGGAAAAATATTTGCCATATGGTAATAAATAATTAAATATATTTCTGTATAAATAACAGTAACGTTAAATAGGGATAGAGGTGATAGAAGAGCATTTAACATTATGTGCTCTGAAAAATATACATATTTTTACAAAAATATATTGTGTAAATATATAGCTATATTTATAAAATATTATGTAAATACATTATATAAAGAAAATACAGCTAACAGAGTATGCAGAAGGAGAAAGCATGTGGAAATTAGAGTCAACTCAGGGATCATCTTATGTAAGTATGTACCGCTAAGCAATGGCTGGTAGTAACAGCATATCACTTCAAAGTAGACATTAGAAGGGAGGGAGGGAAGAGGGGAGAGTAAAAAATTTCCATGATTCCTTGGAGTAGGGAATAATAGATAGTATGTTTAAAAAAAAAAAAAGGGAGGGGCCACATATTATATAAAGGTAACATTAGAACAAAAATACAAACTTTCCTCAACATCAAAAGATACTCTAATGAAGGGCAAATAAAACAGTGCATATGGGCCTCCCTTGTGGTGTAGAGGTTAAAGACACAGCGCTATCAAGCTACTGCCAGCTACTGATAAAGCACGAGTTCGATCCCTGGCCAGGGAGATGACCCACATGTCACAAGGAGGCCTGTCCTGTCCTGTCCGCCATGCCCTCAGCAGTGTATCTCAGTAGACCTGTTTGTTCTGCTCCTCACTCTGTCTTACCCTACTTCTGGCCTATACCCCAGTTCCTGTATGCCTAAATAAATAAATCTTTATTTTAAAAAGTGTAGTGAATGGTGTTACATTTATTTTTATAAAAGTGACATAAAATGACCTAAAAATGTGAGGTCAAACATATCATTTGTAATAACAATGTCAAAGGTTTAACTCACTATTAAGAGAACAGGTTTTCATATTAGCTCTGTAAGCCTATGCTCCTTACATGGGACATTTGAATCATCTGAAACAAAGAACAATTCAGAAGATGACTTAGAAGGGGTGAGTGGGTTGATAAAGTTCAGAAAAATGCAGATTAAGACAAACTCTTAGACACTTGGAGTCATGATCTTGATCCCAAGGTAGAATTCAGGCTAAGAAGGACACTTTAAAATACCACATTCTGGGCACTCCCTGGTGGTACAGCAAATTAAAGTCAGCACCATGAAGCTAGCCAGGCTGCTTCAGCATGGGTTCAGCATGAGGTGTGACAGACCTCTCCTGACCCACCTGCTGCTCCTCTCAGCAGTGTACTTTGCCGATCTGCCTGTTCTGGTTCTCACTCTGTCTCTGGTGAATCCTCTCACTGCATCTGCACCTCTGGCCTGCACCCCAGTTCTGTATGCATAAATAAATAAATCTTAAAAATAAATACCAAAAGGTATAATTTCACCAGGAAGAAAACAATTATTAATATCTATCTAGTCAATAATGGAGCACAACTCTAAGACAGAAATCACAAGAGGTGCAAGGATAAATAAAAAATAATCTAATAATGGCCCTCCATGGTGGCGCAGCGGGTTAAAGCACAGCACTAGGAAGCTAAAGCCACTTCTTCATGAGTTTGATTCCCACCTGCCCCGGAGATAACCACATGGCGTGGCAGACCTCTCCTGGCCCGCCCACTGCTCCCCTCAGCAGTGTACTTCGTCTATCTGCCTGTTCTGCTCCCCACTCTGTCTCTGGTGAAGCCTCTCGCCAGCCCTGAGCCTCTGGCCTGTACCCCAGTTCTGTATGCACAAATAAATAAATCTTAAAAAATAAATAATAATAATCTAGTAATATCAGGGTACTTAGACTATCAAAAATTAAGTATAAAGAAGAATTAAACACAATAAGTTATAGTTTAAAGAAACATTTATATAGTATAAGAACATTACATCATTATATTTATTAATAATATATTGTGACATATGTTTTATATATAAACATGTTAACCTAACAATAAAAAGTACATCTTCTATACATGGAATATTCAATATTAGACTACAAAGGAAATCTCAATGATTTTCTCTTTGAAATTCTTCAGTCAGGAAGAATATACATAGCACTCTTACAGGCACATGAATATCAATACCGCCAAATCCACTGTGGTGGCCAGAAATTAACAAGGGACACCTACTACTGAACAATTTTCAGATTAGAGGATTAACACAAATTGAAATAGCAAAACATCTGGGAAATCATGGCTTCTCAAGCAGACACAGAAGGATCCACAGAACACGGCTACACAAGTGCTCCCAGGGAACTCCACAGCCTTCCTGCATGTTGTTAAAACCTTCATGTGTGATGTCTTTTGCAGCAACTTGGATGGAGCTGGAAAAGATCATGCTTAGTGAAATAATCCAGAAAGAGAAAGAAAAATACTGAATGGTTTCACTCATAGCAGGAGTATAATGGACCAGGCGAGAAAATAACAAGAATAATGAACAGCCATATACCAGAGACATTTTGTGGGGGTGGAGTGGGGGATGGGATCAAAAACGGGGGGTGGGGGGGAAGTGCACGGGACTATGGTGATGGCACACGGGTGACTCGGTGATGGGAAACCCACAGGGATTACAATTGAGATAAAAAAATGTACAAAATGATGTAAAAATAAACTATTATATTATATTAAAAAAAAACCTTCATGTGTGAAGTCAATGAAAAGCGAGGATAGTATCAATAAAGAAAGCAAAAAGCATAAGAGCTTAAGAGACATAAGAACAAATTAGTGACTAAGAAATAGAAAACTCATACAATAAGCAAATAAATATATAACCTATTTGCTTGAATCAACAAAACAGAAAACCACAGACTAAAACTTTTTAAACATCAATAAATGTGGGTGAGAAAACACAAATACACAAAGTAAGAAATAACAATGGGTTTAAGATACAAACAGTGCACAGAACATAAACCATGCTTAACTATATGAAAAGATGTCAACATGTTTTCATAATATAGAAACACAAATAAAAATTGAACAAAAACACCAATCCTCACCATCAGTGGCAAAGCATCTAAAAGTATGAGGACAGAGAGTTACCCCCACAATTTCTTGGTAGAAATGCAAAGTGATATGGCCTTGAGGAGGGAATTTGTCAAAATGTATGCTTTTACCTGCTGTTATATTACCTCATTGTTATACCTGCCTTGTTTTTGATATTCCTCCAACACCTGTATAACATCCTGGCTGATAGTAACGATTAATGATGATTGTTTAAAAAATGGAATGGCTTCATCTCTCTTTTCACATCAGTTAGTTCTTTTATCTCTACAAAGACCTGTAAGT